CTACTTCTGGCGGCCCGCCATCAGTTCATAATTCCCTCTACTCCTGGCGGCCCGCCATCAGTTCATAATTACCTCTACTTCTGGCGGCCCGCCATCAGTTCATAATTACCTCTACTTCTGGCGGCCCGCCATCAGGTCATAATAACCTCTACTTCTGGCGGCCCGCCATCAGTTCATAATTACCTCTACTTCTGGCGGCCCGCCATCAGTTCATAATTACCTCTACTTCTGGCGGCCCGCCATTAGTTCATAATTACCTCTACTTCTGGCGGCCCGCCATCAGTTCATAATTACCTCTACTTCTGGCGGCCCGCCATCAGTTCATAATTACCTCTACTTCTGGCGGCCCGCCATCAGTTCATAATAACCTCTACTTCTGGCGGCCCGCCATCAGTTCATAATTACCTCTACTTCTGGCGGCCCGCCATCAGTTCATAATTACCTCTACTTCTGGCGGCCCGCCATCACTTCATAATTACCTCTACTTCTGGCGGCCCGCCATCAGTTCATAATTACCTCTACTTCTGGCGGCCCGCCATCAGTTCATAATTACCTCTACTTCTGGCGGCTTCTATCTCTGCTATAGAATAAAGTCGTAGCCCATCGTTTACTGTTGCGACTAACATAACACAGTATAAATGAATGAACAACAAATTTATATACTAAAATAATCAAAGAAAAAACAATCATAATTCATGATCAAATCATTACGTAAAAAAATACGTCAAAAATAAGGCAGGCTATAACATACCCGAGACAGGTTTGCCCACGAATATAACGGCCGGTGTCCCACGCCACACTGCGATCACGCCACTAACAAACCTCACGCGCCCAGCACTCCAGCTACTGAGCGAGTTAGAGTTTCCAGGCGAGGATTTTAAAATATACACCACCTTGAAATTTTATCATTGTGTGTGATACCCTGGCTCATGCTCGCCGGGTCTTAGCGATCTTAAATCGCAAAATTTACCAGTCAGAGAAGTGCACAGGATGCACCACGTGACCGATAAAAAACGGTATCTAGATCTTTGCCTAGTGATTTTGGACCTGTCTCCGGAGGGCAGAGAAATATATAATATCATCCGGATTTGCAACCTCACGGGGATTGCAGTAGAGTCCCCGCGCAATAGGGACATCGTTGGCCAATGTCACCGATGCCAATTATACGGCCACTCGGCCAGAAATTGTTTCGCTCGGCCTAGGTGCGTTAAATGCCTAGGCGATCATGGCACACCCCAGTACCCCCGAACGCCCGAGTCAGAGGGCCCTCCGAGCTGTGTTCTGTGTGGCGAAGAGGGACACCCAGCGAGCTATCGCGGGTGTACCAAAGCGCCGCGTAAGAAGCAGAACGGAGGAGCAACACGACGCGGGCGAGCGGGAAACTCCAGTAGGTCGCGCCCACGGCATTCTGCCCCATCAGTCGCACCGACCTCGGTGCCGCAACCCACGCCCGCTCAGGCTACAGCCAAGTCCGCCCCCGTTAAAGAGACTTCCAGACAAGGCCCAAGCCCTCCGGTGCCTTCAGCACCTAAACCCAACGCATGGGTTAAGCCCCTGGCGATTGTCAGCGCGACCGCCTCACGGCCAGTGCCTCCTCGCCAAGCCCAGAAGCCCAAACCCGCCCCTCAGGCACCGTCAAACATCGACACTGACCTTTCGTTAGTGTTCAACTTCGCCAGCAATATAAATGTGGCCGAAGTCACAACCTTAGCCCGCAAACTTCGCGAAGCCAAGTCTATTCAAGATAGGCTCAATGCTACTATTGAGCATATCAGTGTTATCCAAGCGATAGGTTCGTTCCAGTGCGCCTAAACCGACTTCTTTCGTAATTAAAATGGAAGTACGACCTATAGGTAGAACCAAACCTAGTTTGAGCGATCCCAAAATAGCTAATTTTACCTTAGTAAGAAATGGTAGGCTGACCGGACCTAAAGGCGACACCTTGATCTACTACAAAAGGTCCTTGCAATGTGTACCGATAGATACTTCGCCGCTTACTAACTTAGAAGCGTCGGACTGTAGGATAGTACTTACGGGCCATCCGCCAAAAATAGTTGCATCAGCATACCTGCCTCCCTTAAAAAGTATATTAGATACCGATATGTCGGCTCTATTAAACCTAGCCCCTTGCATATTAATCGCGGGAGACCTAAATAGTAAACACGTTAGCTGGAATTCTAACGTTAACAATCCTAATGGAATTATTTTAAGAGACCTCACGGAGAGACTTAACCTCGACGTTATAGCTCCCGAGAGTCCAACACGCTATCCTTATGCAAATAACCAACATCCGGACGTCCTTGATATAGCTGCTAAAAGACATCCGACTTACTATTAATTCGATAGAGGTTATTATCGAACTAGTCTCAGACCACAGGCCGGTCGTTTTACAACTGGGCCGGCCGGCAGGTGAGGTCCCACAGACCAAAACTATTGTCGACTGGCGTAAACTTGAGGTCAAACTTATTTCTACGAACTCCCAGCATTTGGACACTATACCTGATAAAATAGACTCGCTTGAGGAGGCCGATAGGGCGATTAGCGCCCTTTCGACTCACCTCACATCAGCGGTCGAAGAATGCTCCCGTAGGGTTCGTGTGTAGAGCGATCAATACACGAAACTTCCGGCGGATGTTCGACGGCTGATTAGAGCGAAGAATTCCGCGCTTAAAACTTATGACCGCTACCGCACGGAAGCCAATAAACTTCGGGTAAGTTCTCTACAAAACGAGATTAAACAACGAGTAGCCGAGTTTAGAAACGATAGCTGGGATAACCTCTTAGAAGGTATCGAACCATCTCAAGACGCTTTTTGGAAATTAACGAGAGCTCTTAAAGCCAATAAATCCTCACCGATGCCGCCTCTCGTGAGGCTGGACCACCCTGATCTCGCCTTAGACGATCTCGTAACAGCCGAATGCCTAGCCGACAGTCTAGAGTACCAGTGCACGCCATCCACCGCACCAACAGATCCCGCTCACCTACTAGAGGTAGAAACGGAAGTAGAACGTAGGTCTGCGCTGCCACCAGCGGGCGAACCACTCAGTAAATTATAACCAGACAGTAGATGAAGTCACCGAAACCATCAAAAGCCTTAAGAATAGATCAGCCCCTGGGCCAGACGGCATCAGCAACAAGGTGATCAAATCCCTTTCGGCGCCACTTATTTACCTCCTTGTAGGAATATTCAACACTTTTCTCACGAACTGCTCCTTCCCGGACATCTGGAAAGAAGCAGACGTAATAGGGATCCCAAAACCGGGTAAACCGCGTAATCGTCCCTCTTGCTACAGACTCGAGTCGAGTGGAGGGAACCCGTTCTTCGAAACACTTCCTCAAGGCCAGGGTCCCACAAGGCTCCGTGTTTTTTAATTTCAATAGCCTCACGTATCATCCTTGGTAGGAATCGGTGTTCTTTCGCGAGGATTTGTGGTCTATCAAATCTGATGTAATGGTTGGGGCCGTCTAGGATATGTACGCAAACTGCAGACTTCCCGGAACGTTGATGCTTCACATCAGCTATATGTTCTTTTACGACGTTCTAATTGATCTTTTTGTTTGTCCTATATAAGAGAGACCACATTCACAATCAAGCTTGTACACTCCTGCATCTTGTAGAGGAATATGACACTTGACGGATGGTAGGAACTGACTAATCTTCGGCGGCTTGTAGAATATTCTAATAGAAGCTCGCTTCAAGATGTAGCCAATCTTGTCTGTGACACCTCTGACATATGGTAGTAAAGCAGGCACACGCTCGATTGTGGCCGGCTTCACTCGGTCACTGTGACGTAGGCGCGGGACCCGAAGCTTGTTGTCGTGTAGAACTTGCTTGACGTGCTGAAGCTCGGCGGCCAGGTGTTTGCTGTCACAGATCCCTCGTGCTCTCTGTAACAAAGATTTGCCCACGGTAGCTAACTGTGAAGGATGGTACCGTGGTACCTTAGTGTAGCCGCAGCATAAGGAAAAATGCCGTTAATTATCGCGTTGATGGACGTTGAATGTAGGTGTGGCCACGAATTAACGCGATAATTTGACAACGGCATTAACAATGCCGTTTCCCGTTTGCCGATAACTCGAGTGGCGGTACATCAAAGGATTAACGCGCGAATTATCGCGTTGAAGCGGCCACACTACGTTTGTCTCATTGTGCGCGGTGAGTGACTCGGGGTTGCACGTACGGCTGCGATGGAGTGGAGTAATGAAAAAGCTTTTCGAGATTGAATTAAAAAAATTACTTCGAAAATACTTTAATTTTATTTTATAGGATAAGGTGACAAACGAGCACACAGTCCACCTGATGGTATGTGGATGCTGTAGCCCATAGACATCTACATCTATCCTCGATTACGAATCAAAATGCAGATGCGTTGTCATCCGTGAAGACTAGGATGGAATGTCTCGTTTCCAGTAAAAAGTCTCCGGTTCTCTACACTCACCATACGAAACACAGCAGCATTAAGCTACTATTTTACGCTGGTATTCTGTGAGAGCGTGGTCCTTCCCTGGTCGAAACATTTAACGCCGTTCAACGGCAAATTTAACGCCGTTCAAAAGCAAATTTTATGCCGTTCAACGGCGTTGAAATAGAAACGACGTTGACCGTTCAAGTGTAGCCACTCATTTTATCGCGTTAAATTTAAAGCAATAATTGTTGCGTTTATGGGCATTGACGTTGCTCGTTAGTGTAGCCGCAGCATGTCAACGTGCGCGTGAGCCTCCCGTTTATATACTAGCTTATCTACGGCGTGAGCAGTTCAGTTGTTTTGTGTATTAAATTCTTGTTGTTAATATTTTTATTTCTCCGTCAATCAACGTCCCATATAGCGACAATCCCACGTGCCAAGTCGATATATTTTATATTTATAATATTCTCTGCTTTCTCGAGATTCTCGTCACGAGGAACACTGACATACACTAATATTGACTTGCGTGTAGATCGGTCTATCACCAAAATGTCAGGTTTATCTTATTATTATTATTTTATCATATGTTTTCAGGTAGCGGAGTATATGCTGGACTGTGCAAGAAATGTGAAGCCCGACTTGTATGTAGTGGCCGAGTTGTTCACGAACTCAGACCATGTGGATAATATATTTGTGAATAGACTCGGTATAACGTCACTTATCCGAGGTAAGTTTCATCGTAGTTAACTTTTTGAAATTTCTTTTTATAATAATAATATCCAAAGAAACGGGATGGTGGGAGCTGAATCTGAATGACCGGGTGAGAAATTGTGTGATAAGAGAAAAGTGTGGTTTGCAAGATGATGTTATATGTCCTATATATCTTAATGTGCTGTATTATTGTTATTCCTATATGGACCTATGTCTTATCTTAATGTGCTGTATTATTGTTGTTCCTATATGGACCTATGTCTTATCTTAATGTGCTGTATTATTGTTGTTCCTATATGGACCTATGTCTTATCTTAATGTGCTGTATTATTGTTGTTCCTATATGGACCTATGTCTTATCTTAATGTGCTGTATTATTGTTGTTCCTATATGGACCTATGTCTTATCTTAATGTGCTGTATTATTGTTGTTCCTATATGGACCTATGTCTTATCTTAATGTGCTGTATTATTGTTGTTCCTATATGGACCTATGTCTTATCTTAATGTGCTGTATTATTGTTGTTCCTATATGGACCTATGTCTTATCTTAATGTGCTGTATTATTGTTGTTCCTATATGGACCTATGTCTTATCTTAATGTGCTGTATTATTGTTGTTCCTATATGGACCTATGTCTTATCTTAATGTGCTGTATTATTGTTGTTCCTATATGGACCTATGTCTTATCTTAATGTGCTGTATTATTGTTGTTCCTATATGGACCTATGTCTTATCTTAATGTGCTGTATTATTGTTGTTCCTATATGGACCTATGTCTTATCTTAATGTGCTGTATTATTGTTGTTCCTATATGGACCTATGTCTTATCTTAATGTGCTGTATTATTGTTGTTCCTATATGGACCTATGTCTTATCTTAATGTGCTGTATTATTGTTGTTCCTATATGGACCTATGTCTTATCTTAATGTGCTGTATTATTGTTGTTCCTATATGGACCTATGTCTTATCTTAATGTGCTGTATTATTGTTGTTCCTATATGGACCTATGTCTTATCTTAATGTGCTGTATTATTGTTGTTCCTATATGGACCTATGTCTTATCTTAATGTGCTTTATTATTGTTGTTCCTATATGGACCTATGTCTTATCTTAATGTGCTGTATTATTGTTGTTCCTATATGGACCTATGTCTTATCTTAATGTGCTGTATTATTGTTGTTCCTATATGGACCTATGTCTTATCTTAATGTGCTGTATTATTGTTGTTCCTATATGGACCTATGTCTTATCTTAATGTGCTGTATTATTGTTGTTCCTATATGGACCTATGTCTTATCTTAATGTGCTGTATTATTGTTGTTCCTATATGGACCTATGTCTTATCTTAATGTGCTGTATTATTGTTGTTCCTATATGGACCTATGTCTTATCTTAATGTGCTGTATTATTGTTGTTCCTATATGGACCTATGTCTTATCTTAATGTGCTGTATTATTGTTGTTCCTATATGGACCTATGTCTTATCTTAATGTGCTGTATTATTGTTGTTCCTATATGGACCTATGTCTTATCTTAATGTGCTGTATTATTGTTGTTCCTATATGGACCTATGTCTTATCTTAATGTGCTGTATTATTGTTGTTCCTATATGGACCTATGTCTTATCTTAATGTGCTGTATTATTGTTGTTCCTATATGGACCTATGTCTTATCTTAATGTGCTGTATTATTGTTGTTCCTATATGGACCTATGTCTTATCTTAATGTGCTGTATTATTGTTGTTCCTATATGGACCTATGTCTTATCTTAATGTGCTGTATTATTGTTGTTCCTATATGGACCTATGTCTTATCTTAATGTGCTGTATTATTGTTGTTCCTATATGGACCTATGTCTTATCTTAATGTGCTGTATTATTGTTGTTCCTATATGGACCTATGTCTTATCTTAATGTGCTGTATTATTGTTGTTCCTATATGGACCTATGTCTTATCTTAATGTGCTGTATTATTGTTGTTCCTATATGGACCTATGTCTTATCTTAATGTGCTGTATTATTGTTGTTCCTATATGGACCTATGTCTTATCTTAATGTGCTGTATTATTGTTGTTCCTATATGGACCTATGTCTTATCTTAATGTGCTGTATTATTGTTGTTCCTATATGGACCTATGTCTTATCTTAATGTGCTGTATTATTGTTGTTCCTATATGGACCTATGTCTTATCTTAATGTGCTGTATTATTGTTGTTCCTATATGGACCTATGTCTTATCTTAATGTGCTGTATTATTGTTGTTCCTATATGGACCTATGTCTTATCTTAATGTGCTGTATTATTGTTGTTCCTATATGGACCTATGTCTTATCTTAATGTGCTGTATTATTGTTGTTCCTATATGGACCTATGTCTTATCTTAATGTGCTTTATTATTGTTGTTCCTATATGGAGCTATTTTTTATTTTAATTTGCTGTATTATTGTTGTTCCTATATGGACCTATGTCTTATCTTAATGTGCTGTATTATTGTTGTTCCTATATGGACCTATGTCTTATCTTAATGTGCTGTATTATTGTTGTTCCTATATGGACCTATGTCTTATCTTAATGTGCTGTATTATTGTTGTTCCTATATGGACCTATGTCTTATCAAGACTTGTAATACGAATGCGAATGGAATGATAATTGACAACACTTATTGAAATATCGTGATTGGTATTTTGCTATAGATATCATGAAAGTTAATTAACAACCGCAGTTTTTTATATTATCAGAAAATGTGGCGGCCCATCTCTGCTGCCAAGCTCTTGTGACATGCACGGGATGACACGGGTAGTAGATATAATTACACCGCGACTACAAGGTCACATTGAATTAATATGAATAAATTATATTAAGCAAAAAGTGAAGCATAACGTGCACGAGCAGGGGCGGCTGCTGCACTGATCAGCGGGCGCGCCGTTGACACGTTCCTAAAATTTATAAAGTTGTGTGTGTGTTGTGTGTGTGCAGAGGCGCAGAGTGCGTGGGACGCACATGAGCAGGGGCGGCTGCTGCACCTTCAGCGGGCGCGCAGTTGACACGTTCCTAAAATTTATAAAGTTGTGTGTGTGTATGTGTGTGTGCAGAGGCGCAGAGTGCGTGGGACGCACATGAGCAGGGGCGGCTGCTGCACTGATCAGCGGGCGCGCAGTTGACACGTTCCTAAAATTTATAAAGTTGTGTGTGTGTATGTGTGTGTGCTGAGGCGCAGAGTGCGTGGGACGCTCATGAGCAGGGGCGGCTGCTGCACCGCTTCAGCGGGCGCGCCGTTGGCACGTTCCTAAAATTTATAAAGTTGTGTGTGTGTATGTGTGTGTGCAGAGGCGCAGAGTGCGTGGGACGCTCATGAGCAGGGGCGGCTGCTGCACCGCTTCAGCGGGCGCGCCGTTGGCACGTTCCTAAAATTTATAAAGTTGTGTGTGTGTATGTGTGTGTGCAGAGGCGCAGAGTGCGTGGGACGCTCATGAGCAGGGGCGGCTGCTGCACCGCTTCGGCGGGCGCGCCGTTGGCACGTTCCTAAAATTTATAAAGTTGTGTGTGTGTATGTGTGTGTGCAGAGGCGCAGAGTGCGTGGGACGCACATGAGCAGGGGCGGCTGCTGCACCGCTTCGAGCGGGCGCGCCGTTGGCACGTTCCTAAAATTTATAAAGTTGTGTGTGTGTATGTGTGTGTGCAGAGGCGCAGAGTGCGTGGGACGCACATGAGCAGGGGCGGCTGCTGCACTGATCAGCGGGCGCGCCGTTGACACGTTCCTAAAATTTATAAAGTTGTGTGTGTGTATGTGTGTGTGCAGAGGCGCAGAGTGCGTGGGACGCTCATGAGCAGGGGCGGCTGCTGCACCGCTTCGGCGTGCGCGCCGTTGGCACGTTCCTAAAATTTATAAAGTTGTGTGTGTGTATGTGTGTGTGCAGAGGCGCAGAGTGCGTGGGACGCTCATGAGCAGGGGCGGCTGCTGCACCGCTTCAGCGGGCGCGCCGTTGGCACGTTCCTAAAATTTATAAAGTTGTGTGTGTGTATGTGTGTGTGCAGAGGCGCAGAGTGCGTGGGACGCTCATGAGCAGGGGCGGCTGCTGCACCGCTTCAGCGTGCGCGCCGTTGGCACGTTCCTAAAATTTATAAAGTTGTGTGTGTGTATGTGTGTGTGCAGAGGCGCAGAGTGCGTGGGACGCTCATGAGCAGGGGCGGCTGCTGCACCGCTTCAGCGGGCGCGCCGTTGGCACGTTCCTAAAATTTATAAAGTTGTGTGTGTGTATGTGTGTGTGCAGAGGCGCAGAGTGCGTGGGACGCTCATGAGCAGGGGCGGCTGCTGCACCGCTTCAGCGTGCGCGCCGTTGGCACGTTCCTAAAATTTATAAAGTTGTGTGTGTGTATGTGTGTGTGCAGAGGCGCAGAGTGCGTGGGACGCTCATGAGCAGGGGCGGCTGCTGCACCGCTTCGGCGGGCGCGCCGTCGGCTCGTTTGCGCTCGCGCCACGTCGCGCCGCGTCACCCCGCGTGGCGCACGCCATGCTGCTCGACCTCACGCACGACAACCCCTCGCCGCTCGACAAGCGGTACGCTCGTAAATAAATTCTCCACTAGAAAACGTTCTTTAATTATATGTTGTGCCATGTATACTATACAACTAAAGTACATGTTATAAAGGATAATACAATCCCAACGATGACTGCCTCGTTAGTCTAATGTTAGTAAACGCGATTGCTGATGAGGGCTTCTAGCCCCGCGTCGGACTAAACGTCTGTTGGATTTTTCTGTCGAGAAAATATCAGTAGCAGCCCGGAGTCAGGAAGCTGGTGGTGCTTCACCCTCGTGCCTCGGAAAGCACGTAAAGCTGTTGCTCCTGCGCCTGATCTCTCCGATCGTGTCAGTTTATCGTCTCATCGGACTATGAGAGTAAAGTAATAAAGTACGCCTGTGCTTGCGCATGTACTTGGGCACTATAATCCTATCCTGCGCAGATGACTAGTGTTTGTTGGGACCAACCGCTGTAACCGAAATTTGCTCTGCATGACATTGTTAATATAAAAAATAATCATAATTAGAGCTCTACACAAGTCCACTGCGGAACATAGACCTCCTGCAAGGAATGCCACAAAACACGGCCTTTAGCCTTTCAGTTGAGGCATCTATCAATTTTCTGCATGTTTTTACCAGGTCGTCACTCTATCTAAGTGGAGTCCACCTCACACTTCGTCTAGCGACACGACGCTGCTACTCGAGAATCCTTCTTCCTTATCGGCTGTCGATTCTTCGAACTATGTGGTTGGTCCACATCAACTTACTAATCCGTTGGCCTTTTTAGGTTAGGTCTGGTTCTACTACGAATATCCTCATTTCTAAATTTATCACGTAGAGAAACCCCGAGCATTGCCATCTCCATAGCTCACTGTGTGACCTTGAACTCATAGAAGATATTGAATAAAACTAAATTTACGGATTTTATCGCGTTTATTTCACTACTTTTACTTATTTTTAATTCCCGACGTTTCGGGTGCTTTACAGCAACCATGGTCACGGGGGGGACTGAGATGTTTGACGTCCCAATGTCATAGTTAGTTCGGCTACCTTCAGTTTTTGAATATTAATTTTTTGGTCCGATTTACGCAAAACGAGCTTATAGTATCATGAAGTCTTGCAGTGGTATGCTTAGGTTTGGGTTTAATTTTGTTAATTATAGGATCCCAAGCAGATGGCAGCACCCATCCATCTTCTCTATTGAAATTTGGATGTTTTTTTAATTTCAATAGCCTCGCGTATCATCCTTGGTAGGAATCGGTGTTCTTTTGAGAGAATTTGTGGTTTATCAAAACGAATGTAATGGTGGGGACGATCTTGAACATGTTCGCAGACTGCAGACTTCCCGGAGCGTCGGTGCTTCACGTCAGCTATATGTTCTTTCACGCGGGTTTTTATGGATCTTTTTGTTTGACCTATGTAAGAGAGACCACATTCACAATCTAACTTCTACACTCCTGCATCTTGTAGAGGGATATTACACTTGACGGATGGTAAAAATACAACCTCTACAAGATGTAATATCCCTCTACAAGATGCAGGAGTGTGCAAGTTAGATTGTGAATGTGGTCTCTCTTACATAGGTCAAACAAAGAGATCTATAAAAACTCGCGTGAAAGAACATATAGCTGACGTGAAGCACCGACGCTCCGGGAAGTCTGCAGTCTGCGAACATGTTCAAGATCGTCCCCACCATTACATTCGTTTTGATAAACCACAAATTCTCGCAAAAGAACACCGATTCCTACCAAGGATGATACGCGAGGCTATTGAAATTAAAAAAACATCCAAATTTCAATAGAGAAGATGGATGGGTGCTGCCACCTGCTTAGGATCCTATAATTAACAAAATTAAACCCAAACTTAAGCATACCACTGCAAGACTTCATGATACTATAAGCTCGTTTTGCGTAAATCGGACCAAAAATTAATATTCAAAAACTGAAGGTAGCCGAACTAACTATGACATTGGGACGTCAAACATTTCAGTCCCCCCCCGTGACCATGGTTGCTGTAAAGCACCCGAAACGTCGGGAATTAAAAATAAGTAAAAGTAGTGAAATAAACGCGATAAAATCCGTAAATTTAGTTTTATTCAATGTGTAGTGTTCGCGTAAATTTAAGAAATCATCATAGAAGATACTGAAACTTTCTTAACCTGATGATTGATGTGGCGGATCATGTATGCAAGAAAATGATTATACACAGGTGCGTGTTTGACATGTTGCCGACGGCGGCGCTGGTAGCCATGGCTTGCTGCGCTACGGGAAGCACACGCGGCTACGATGAGCTGGTGCCGCACCACGTGAGTAGTGTTCAGCCCTGAGGGTGATTAATGAGTGCACAGCCCATCTGATGGATGCTGTGGCCTATAGATATATAGGCCGATATAGACTTCTACGTTTATTCTTTATTAAAAATTAAAATTCAGATGCGTTTTCATCCCTAAGGACTAAGATAAAAACCTCGTTTCCTCTTTCTCTGTACTCATCATGTCTAACACAGCAGCATTAATGTAGCAGCAAAGATGCTACTTTACGCTGGTACTCTGTGAGAACGCTGTTCTGCCCTGGCGTCGCCGACCCCATTCGTGCTGCGATCATAATATAACTGCAGTGTGGTTCTGCCACTTAAAATTTCTTATTTGTTTGGTACAGTTTGGATTTAATTTTAGAACGTGGATCGGAATACGTAAGGAAATTAATATTTTAACTCCGGCCTCTCAATACATTTATGAAAATGTTATGTACGTACATAAAAATAAAACTAGTCTTGCAAAAATAAGTGATATTCATTCAGTAAATACTAGGAGCAGACACAAGCTGGTAGTACCAGTTACTCGACTCCACCGAGTCAGTAATTCATTCTTGGGGCGATGTATACGCTTTTACAACAAAATCCCAGAAAATATACAAAATTTGTCATACACAAAGTTCAAAAATGTTATTAAACTAAGTTTGTATAAAAAGGGTTATTATAATATTAAGGAATTTATAGATGATAATAACCCCTGGGAAGGTGATCGCTACCAAGCTATTTCTAATTTGTTTTGTGTTGTAAATTGTAAGTAAGCTGTTATTTAAAAGTAGTCCCGCTGGGTTTTTGCTGATTCTTCCCAGGACAGAGGTAGTTTTTTGCGAACCAGTGGTAAATGAAAAAAATGACTTTCAATAAGTATTATTTATAATTTATATAGAATAAAAGGTTTCTGTTTCAGTTTCCGTTAAACGCTAATTTGACAATTTAATTAAATTTTAAATAGAATGTTTATACGATTGTTTCTGGGCGCAGATCCACGTGGTGGATGAGTCGCGGCTGTACTGCGAGTGGGCAGAGGGCGGGGAGGGGCAGGGGGAGGGGCGGGTGGGGGCCGGCAGCGGGCTGCTGGCGGCGCGCCGCGCGCTCAACGAGCTGCACTACCAGCTCGCCATCGACGGCTACAGCGAGGTACTGTTTTATACGTATTTTATACAATCTTACAATTTAAATATTGTAGATAATAATAATAACAACCTGAATAAATGCGTCATAAGAATCGTTTAATTTTATTTAACCCCTAATACAAAAGCAAAATGTAGCAACATTTAGTTAATACGGTAAACGTACGAAGTACGCACTGCATAATATATGCATCAATCGATGCATATGCGCTTAGATGCCCGCCACTTGTTTTTATAGGATAAGGGTGACAAACGAGCACACAGTCCATCTGATGGTGAGTGGATGCTGTGGCCCATAGATATCTACATTTAACCTCGATTAAGAATCAAAATTCAGATGCGTTGTCACCCTTGAGGACTAAGATGGAATGCCTCGATTCCAGTAAAACAGATCACCGGTTCTTTACACTCACCATACGAAACACAGCAGCATTAAGCTGCTATGTTACGCTGGTATTCTGTGAGAGCGTGGTCTTTCCCCGGTCGAGCCAGTGGTCAGTACGGTGAAACAAATGATCAGCACCAACCGAATGTTAATTTAACTTAATACCGCGAACGTTAAGGCTAAGCTAAGTTAAGCCTACCCACACAGATCATAAAAAATTTTGTACAACTTGTGAATCAACAATAATAACATTATTTGTGTTTCCAATTACGTGAGTCTTGTTCCTTTTTCCTTTTTAGTTTAAATGGTTACTTTTGTGATAGTGTCAAAAGCATTTACTTATATATTACTAGCGTATTCAAAAGTGACAATTTCTGCAATCCGTCGATTTTCCATGAAAAATTTAGGAAAGATAAGAAAGTAAAAAATTTAAGAAAGCGATATATTTCTTATTAACCATACTATTATTATATGCAGGTGTATGTCGATCAGATGGATGCGGACGTCATAGCTGTAACTAGACATGATCCTCGTTCTAGAAAGGTTGGTTAATATTGTAGTACTTGTTCAATATGTTGTATTTATTTTTCTGTATTTTTATTGTAATATGTTGTATGTTTTATTTATTTAACAAAAATATAAAATCGATATGTGTAAGCGAAAGATTAACTAAAAAGTTTAAGTTCAAATATATATATATATATATATATATATATATATATATATATATATATATATATATATATATATATATATATATATATATATATTACAAAGCAAAAAGATTAGCACTTGAGTATCAAAATTAGAGACATAATTTGATTCGGAGAGAATTCAAAATGGATTAAATTCGCTCTTTCTAACCCTTCTAGATGATGTCTCTGCCTATGAAATTGCTGTTTATATAAAATAAGTTAACGTATTTTTTTCTATATCTTCATTTCTATTAATCAAAGTAATCATCCATGCAATCGATGCATCTTACAAATTAATTAAATCAGATTAGGACGTTGCAACGGTTTTTGAAATATATTTTACTGATATTCCGTTCTTAATCACAAAGTCACTGAATTCTTTTCCTGTCGTCGCCGAATCATTACTTATACAAAATGTAAATGCGTGTACAAAGAATTTTACATTTTATAAGATATCATCAAAAGATATTCTAAAATATTTTAAAACTATTGATATTAAGAAAATTGCTGATCTGTGGGGATTTCCGTTAAAGTTATTGTGATACTACATATATAGATACAATCGCACCTCAACTATCTATTATTTTTAATACTAGTATTGAATCTGGTGAGTTTCCTGATTTAATGAAGCACAGTAAAGTAATACCTTTATTTAAATCTGGCAGCACATTGGACGCCGCTAATTTTAGACTATTTCTGTACTGCCAATACTTAGTAAAATTTTTGAAAAGATTATTCTTGATCAAGTGTTAATTTTTTGAATGTAAATAATTTACTTCATATATAATTCAATTCACGACAACTGATGCTGGTGTTGAGCTGATTAAATTTATTTTCAATGCATGAGAGAAATCACAGAATGCTTTGGGAAAATATAATTATTCGGTGGCCTATCCAAAGCCTTTGATTGTGTTCACCATGAAACATTAATCAGGAAACTAAGAAGTGTAAGAAGTGATTGCTCTTAAATTAATTATTTTATATTTAAGAAACAGAACGCAAAAAGTTGCCATTAATAGTATGAGTCCTTCCAAGTCGATTGTACAAATGTGCGTACCTCAGGGCTCAATTCTCGGCCCCTTTTTGTTTATTGTATATATTAATGACTTACCTTACATAGTTGGGGATAACTATGATTTAGCATTATTTATGACACGTTATTAATTTTCAAATTAAAACGACAGTTACTAAATTATGACGAAGTAAACAATGCAAGAATGTTAATAATTTTCATTTAAATGGTAATAAAACTAAATGTGTGAAATTCATAACTCAGAATGTTAAACATGTTAGTACTAATGTAATTTTAAATGAGGAGGAGTTGAGTCTTGTAGATTCCACCACTTTTCTTGGAATCACACTAGACGTAAAGCTTCAATGGAGCCCCAATATATCAAAACTAGCAAGCAGACTTAGTTCAACTAGCAAGCAGCATCTGCTGTAAAAACGATTAGAAGTCTTACCAGTGTTGAAACAGCTAGACTAGTTTACTTTAGCTATTTCCATAGCATAATGTATGGTATTTTGTGACACGCGACTGACACTGAAATTATATGTATTTGTTTTACAGAAGAATGCCATTAGAGCAATTTGTGATTTAAAACCAAAAGAGTCGCTCAGACAAACATTTAAATAAATTAATATATTAACTTTGCCCAAATACATTTATGAAAATGTAATATATGTGTACGTACACAAAAATAAAAGTAGTTTTACAAAAATAAATGATATTCATTTTGTAAGTACTAGAAACAGACACAAGTTCGTAGTACCAGTTACTCGACTTCACCGAGTTAGTAATTCATTCTTGGGGCGATGTATACGCTTTACGATATAATTATAACTCACTCTCACCCCAAAACAGAAAAGAGATCAGGTGCCGTACTTTGCAAAGGAGGAGTTTTGCGAGCACGAAGAAATATGCTATAACTATGTATATTACTTTAAAGGCGGAGCTACAGGATTTGATAACTTTTCAACCAATCAATACATCCATACCAAATGTGAGTGAATGTCAACAACCACGCGTTACTCATATTGTTACCCTATATACAAATTCGAACTTTTGTGTGTGCAATATGAAGATTGGTCATCATTTTATGATTTGTTTAATACGCTCGTCCATATTAACGAGTTATTGAGCAATGTCCAACGGCTCCATTATTTGAAGACAAGCCTTATAGTGGATATATTAATATATAACGAGCAGGCACGGAATTTATTGGATGGTCGATACGGTAACAAACGTATGACTGTGAATGCAATTATGAAGAGGTTATTTTCTCAGAAAAAGACAGTTAATTCGTCGAAGCAAATGAAACGTTTAGACACGGTTGTGACAAAAATGTTAATGTGACTACTAAAACTTGGATCCAATTGTTGTATTTGTTATTGTACAAAGATTAGCTCCAGACACACAGGAGGCCTGTGCTCCTTGCACGTGAGTAACATTTGTCAGTTAATGCTGGTAATACCCTTTACCAAAAAGAGACGGTTGGACAAATTAGTCACACCAAAACTCAATGGTAAAGAAGTACCATTTTCCACGGAAGTTAAGTACTTGGGCGTAACAATCGACCAAAAACTAACGTGGAACTCTCACCTTAGCAACATATGCCATAAGGCAAAAATTGCTTTAGGTGCGATTACGTGCAGTCGTTTGGTCGAGAACAATCGGAGCCTCTCATCCTGGTCCTTCGGCTGTTCAGCAGAATAGTGTAACCGATTCTCACCTACCCCTCCACTGTCTGGTGCAAGAAGGCTAACCGAAAGACTACTGCGGACAGACTAAATAGTCTTCAAAGGAGTGCCTGCTTAATGGCAACTGGAGCTATGCGATCATCGCCTGGAGCGGCTCTTAATGCACTTCTGTGCCTCACGCTTCTTGATCTTTATCTAGACAAGGAGGCGACAATACCGGGACAAACTTGAGTCTAAAGGCGAGTCTTTGCTGAAAAAAGTCTCGGATTGAGGGCGACTAAATCTAGTCGAGTTTAACCCTCAGAAGACACAAGTTTGCGCGTTTACCGCTAAAAAGAACCCCTTTGTCGTATCTCCTCAGTTTCAAGGCACTCCTCTTATTGCCTCAGCCAGTATCGGAATCCTCGGCGTCGACATATCGAGTGACGTGCAGTTTCGTGGTCACTTGGAAGAGAAGGCCAAATTGGCCTCTAAAAAACTTGGCGTGCTCAACAGAGCGGGATAGTATTCATGTATGAACACCGCCTGCAACTTTACAAGGCGCAGGTTCGGTCGCACATGGAATACTGTTCCCATGTCTGGGCTGGGGCTCCCCTGTGGCAGCTCCTTTCACTTGACCGCTAGAGTGACTCGAATCGTGGACGACCGAGTGCTCCCGATACCATCCACACCATCTGGATGCTTGGCGGTCCACCACTGTACGTTTCACTAGGAGTTGTCTTCCGCATACGACCTTTCTGTTGAATAGTTTACCACCGGCGATTTTTTCGGACCGATACGACCTAGGGACCTTCAAGAAAAGAGCTTACTCCTTTCTAGAGGGCCGGCAACGCACCCGCAACTCCCCTGGTGTTGCGGTTGGTCATTGGCTGCGGTAGTCACTTAACATCAGGTGAAGCGCATGCTCGTTTGCCTCCTCTTTATTTAAAAAGGGCGAAGGCTGGTTTGTATAGGATTAACGCCCGGGCGGTCTGAGCTTGCTCTCTTACATATTGAAATTCCTGCTCGACTCAAATAATGAAACACCGGTCTTATGCATGACCTCAGGTATCATGCGTCCACTACACACTTTTGATAAAAGTATATAGTGGAACTACCCTCCAGAGAAAACGAGCTGAATGGCCAGGTTATCTGTGAGTTTGGTAGCCTCATATGGTATACCCATGGGTCTAAAATAGTATGTAGTAGATTCACCTCTATCTTCCAGGCAGAAATTTTCGCCATACTTCAGTGTGCGGAAATCAATCTGCAAAAACACTACGTCAACCATATAATTTATATAAACTCTGATAGTCAAGCAGCCCTGCTAGCGCTGAGGTCGAACTTAGTTAACTCGAAGCTAGTTGGAGATTCCGAAAACTGTTTAAACACCTTGGGATGTAAAACAGGGTCATTTTAAGATGGGTTCCGGATCACGCGGGTATTGTAGGCAATGAATGTGCTGAGAAAATTGCACGGGAGGGCCCAAAGAGTATACAATTTGGACCTAAGCTATTTTGTGGAATCCCAAAAAGCCTAGCCCGATTGACCCTTGAAACTCTCTCTTATCGTAATAAATCACTTAAGATCTGGTCTTACAGAATGTTTTAAAACCTTAATCCGGGTTTGATCGTAAATTCGCTTCAGAAGCCCTCGGATTAATTAAAAATAAATTGCACATCCTGGCAAGAGTTCTAACTGGACACTGTTGTCTTAATAAGCACGTGTCCGTCCTGGAACTAAGCAACTCACATTACATCCTAACTGATACGCAAACATAACACTCATTTGTACTAACTATGTACTCCGCCTAGAAGACGTAAATTGCTCACGGCTAAGCAACTCCTTCTATTCATTGAAGACATAGGGCTTAGCAGTGAACTATAGCCATAGCAGCGATCAAAATAAATCTTTTAAGTCGCAGTGCTTTAACCACCCTGGCCCGAACGGAGTGACCAGAGTGTACGGTGTAAAAAGTGGTGATAGTGTTGTTAAAAGAACTGTAATAAAATTATGTTTACTGCCTATTGATTTTCAGTCACAAATGTTATGTTCGTATTACAATTGTAAAAAGTAAAATAGGGTGAGCGCAATTTAAACCAAATTGACAATATAGCAAATATTGTAACGACAAATTAAGAGAAATTGATTTCCTGTATGAATTAAGTTAGTGTTGTGAAGCTTGTGATAGTATCTGTGATGTTTTAGCACATCGATCTGTAATAGATAAATTATATATGTCCATTGTAATACTTTGTGTGAGGCTTCTAAGTATAGTTACGACAGTGATCGTGACCAAGAGATAGTCAGAAAGCGTGATCGACCTATACTGAGGTGGAACTGGCATGTGCGCGTTGCTCACCGTGATGCTCGACAAAAATTCCTAAATTGGATTTGGCATGGGAAACCGCGTGGTATTATTTTTATAGTGATATGATGGAATCTAAAAGAGTATTTAAACGAAAACTTAAGTTTTGTCAAAATAATCAAGACTAAATCAAGATGAATAAATTTGTACCCGAGTCAGGAATCTCAGAGTGATATACGTATCAACTTAGGAATAAAGATTTTCGTGGGTTTTGGAAGCATACTAAGCAGATGAGTCCTAGAGCAGGTACCCGGTGAGCGTTGGGGATGTGAATGAACCGGTGAAGATAGCCAATCTTTTTAAGAGTCAGTTCCGGGTTCATTGTTTTTTACAGTCACCTGTTAAAGTCGATGCTGAGGTTCATCACCAGACCAATCGCATCACCGCCAGGGACATCGCTGTTTTGATAAATGGCATGACTGGAGGAAAGTCACCTGCTCACGATTGCCTTAGCATCGAGCACTTTCAGTTCGCTGGTCCGCACTTACCTAGACTACTGGCGCTCTTGTTCACCCTATGTATGAGACACTCGTATTTGCCGGAAGAGCTGATGAGAACGGTTGCAGTTCCGATTTTGAAAAACAAAACCGGAGATGTTTCAGATATGTGCAACTACCGGCCCATTTCATTAGCGACAACTGCGGCTAAGATACTTGACAGTGTGCTTGAGAGACAGTTAAAAGTACATATTAAGTTAAACGATGCACAATTTGGTTTTAGACCAAATCTATCAACTGAGTGTGCAATACTGTCGCTGAAGCACACTGTGGGGTATTATACTGTAAGAAATACGTCAGTGTACGCAGCCTTTCTGGATCTTTCAAAGGCTTTCGACCTTGTCAAATATGACATACTGTGGGATAAATTGCGAAAGATTTGAATGAATGTAATTTTAGTCTATGATCCTTGTTGATTGAAATAAATAAATAAATAAAAGCATGGAATACGTTCGCATTTTATTAAAAAAAATTATACTGGAAATCTCTTTTTTTTTATAAAGTGGCCCACCACTCGCGTGGTACAACTCGCGGCACGAAAGTCTAGCGGCGACCGTCGTTGCGCATCATTGCGTATGAATGGCTCAGCGTGTCGTTTACACGCGCTGATTGGCTCTCCAGTGGCATTGCAAATCCCGTACTGATACGATATTCGCAGTTATCCCTTCCACGTTTCGTTTAGTGCTAGAGTTGGGTGCCGCGATAAATATGTTCGGTTTAAGGCTAATTGTTTATTGTATAAAGTCAGTCTGAATAAATCGATACTAAAGAATACACGCCTCTTTCTGTTAATTCCAAATAAATCTGACAGTGTACTTTAACTACACCAAGAGCGATAAAAACAAACGCAAATAAATAAACAAATGATTGATTTTGAAAAGTAATTTTCACGCTTTTATATTAATTTGAAATTAGAGTCCTTAGCCTAACAAATATTATATGGATTTGAAATGGCCAGTACTGCAGAACGGCTATTTCATAGGTCATATTATAAGAAGATAACAATAATCATAAAATAAATAAATTATTTTCTTTTACAGTCAGTAATTTTAGTCGCATTCACGGCGTTTAGCGCGCCCGATCCCTCTTTTGGCGGCCGCTATGTTAAACCATTGCGTTTCGAAGGACAATTGGACGAGATCATATTCGAGGCGAACATGCGCCATGTTGATTACAGGTATGACGAATTCAAAACACACATCAATGTTTATGTTTCAAATTAAGTTTAATAAAATAAATGAATTACATGAATTTGTTATGATTATTCATACAGTAATGATAATGAAATATTTTTCGGATTATTTGAGAACGACCGGGCAGGCGTTGAAACCGCCGAGCGCATTCACGAAGAACGCTCAGTACATCAACGGACTGAGCGAGTACGAGGTGAGCGTGCAGCAGAGCGTGCCGCTGGCGCAGTCGAGCGTGTTCGCGGGCGCGCGGCGGGAGGGTGCGCACTGCGTGCTGGAGTTCCGCGCGCTGCGGCCCGGCGCCGTGGCGGCGCTGCGCGTGTCGCCGCGCGTGCAGCCGCGCCGCCTGGCGCCGCGCGCCGCCGCACTGGCCGCCGCGCTCCAGCCCGCGCTGGCCGACCTGGACCTGGCCGACTTCAATGCGCTGCTGTACTGCTGCGACGCGGAGGAGCGCGAGCGCTGCGGCGGAGGCGTGTACGACGTGCCGGGCCACGGCCCGCTCGTATATGCCGGATTGCAAGGCGTCGTATCGCTGCTTACAGAGGTATTTTTGAACTGAAAACTTGTTCGCAATCGTTGATTTGAAACAAAAAAGCCACACTAAAAACTACTACACTACACTAAAAACAGGCTACCATACACACATACCTGCGAGAGAACGAAATAGAATACTATACGATAGTAAGCGACATTAGCCTAATGGCAGAGTGCGGACCGCGAACTCAAAAGGTTGTGGATTCGAATTCGCCATTCGACTACTGGTGAACCGTTAGACAATCTACTGAAAGCTGTTGCATATAATTCATGCGTGAAAATAAAAATGTCAAGTAATTCTAATTTACTAGAAAAATTACATCCCTATTGTGTTAGTATTATGTGTGACGTTATTTTACAAGACATGGCGTCTTTAATCTGTAGTGATTTCGTTCGCAATGTCAGCAACAATCGACTTTGATATACTCGTTTTTGTTTAGTTATTTACTTTTATTATTTTATATGCCCTAAAAATATTTAAAAAAACTTTTGGTAAATCCAAATGTGCATATCTTAAGCGCTCATGTTATATATCAATATTTTAAAGTATTTTTAATATACACAAGTTTTCACAAATAACCTTGTTACTATTACTTCAAATTTTCCGATATATTTTTATCAAACGTGAATAAAAAAAGTTTGGAAAAACAAGAAGTGCACGACTCATACGATCGTGAAAAAATGTAGAAAAAAATCTCAATAAACAATAGAAAATATTTTTTTTAAAATTTTACCATGTTATTATTATTGAGATTCAAAAAAAATATTATTGTTAATTGAAAAAAACTTTTAACAGAATTATTTTAAAACGATCAGAAATCAACTTTAATATTACTTTAATTTTTAGGTATTTTACTCAGGCATGACGGCATTAACAGACCCGTCGCGCAGTAGCTTAACAATGAGTTATACATAGCGCGAGGCCCGCGGGTTCGAATCCCGCACGGAACACCTATTTGTATGGTCTATAAGTAATTGTTCCGGGTCCGGATGATTGTCCTTGTGCAATTTATGTATTTTTTATAGGATAGGGTGACAAACGAGCACACAGTCCACTTGATGGTAAGTGGTTGTTCTGTGGCCCATGGACATCTACATCTATCATCGATTAATAATCAAAATACGAATTCGGTGTCACCCGTGAGGACTAAGATTTCACTTTAGACTACTTTCACTAAGATTTTACTATTTCACGCTGGTATTCTGTGAGAGCGTGGTCCTTCCCCGGTCGAGCCGACCCATTCGTGCTACAACTATACTACAAATATAACTGCAGCGTGGCTCTAATTTTTTCCACGCTGTGTATGTAAACTGCCTCCGCGATCCAGGAGAAAATCCTAGGGTAACGTTTTTAAAAAAATAAGGAGGCATATCCTAAAAACTAGTCTTTTTTACCTGACTCGTTTAATAATTTCTTTTTCTCATCAACTTTATTTCCTTTTTAAAAAAGTTTTGCATCCAGTCATGTTTAAACAGTATTTTAACTAAGCATGCACTCAGGTCACTCCATAAAGTCCAAGACGTATAAGTATATTTATATCTAAATCCTACGTACTTTTAGCGATACAATATACTGTAATTCTTAACAATAAGTATTTGTACTTTTGGTAAATCCAAGTGAGCATGTCTTAAGCGCTCATGTCAGGTATATCATAGGTCAATTTTTAAAGTATTTTAAATACACACGTAAAGTTTTCACAAATAACATTACTACTTATTACTTCAAATTTACCGATAATTTTATGTCAAACGTCAATAAAAAAGTTTGGAAAATACAAAAGTGCACGGCTCATAATGATCATATTATGGTCGTGAAAAAATGTAGAAAAAAATTTTCAATCAATAATAGAAAATATTATTTTAATGTTACTATGTTATTATTATTAAGATTCAGTTTTTTTATAATTGCTAATTTATAAAACTTTTAACAGAATTATCTTTAAACGATCTAAAATCGACTTTAATATTACTTTAATTTTTAGGTATTTGTACTCAGGCATTATCGTAAAAACTAGTCTTTTTACCTGACTCGTTAATATTTTTTTTCTCTTCAATTTTATTTCGTTTTAAAAGTTTTTCATGTAATAATAACCAGTATTTTAATTTAGCATTCACCAAAGAACACCTTCAGGTCGCTCCATAAAGTCAAATACGTATATAAGTATATTTATATATAAATCTTACGCTCTTTTAGCAAAACAATATATTGTATTCATTACATCTGTGATTATAATAATAATATCTTACCTTGGTCAAGTATGTATCAAATTTGGTTTTTGAAATATTTTGTATCCTACAGCGATCGATATTTTTCATCAGGAGCTGCTGTAACCAAACGATACGGTAATCCACTCACGTCACGACGGCGGCCGTGCCCGCAGTGAGTCTAAGTAGATCTGTATTTAGTAGAATATATTATTAAAAGGCCGCTGGAACACCCAAATTTTCGGAATTTCTCAGTCGAAAAAAATTATAACTAAACAAAACAAAATTAAACAGCTACATATTTACATTCCATGGCTTCCGACATGATAGATAAAGAGAGTAAAAAATGGATTGAGTTGAACAATTGATAATTTCAAAAGTTATCATGTTTACTCCACCATGCAGACTTGTTAAAATCTACACCATAACTAAATCCTCTTTTTTAATGTAAAATTAGCAATTAATCCATTTAAAAAAAAGTAAGTTCAACAATCACTTATTAACTTCCCAGTGGGAAGTTATTGTAGTAGGTCCGATTTTGCAAATTGAAAATTTTAGCATATCTCCACGTTTCAAGGTCTTTAGAGTCGAATAGTATGGTTTTTAAGAGGATGTCCGTGTGTGCACATGTACGTATGTATGTTCGGATTCAACTTTCGCCTCGTGTATCTCGAGAACAAAGAGTGATATTAACATGGGACCAGTTTCATTTAACGCATAATTATGTAACTTAGACCTCATTAAATTTTGAGCAAAATCGATTAAGTCGTTTTTGTGCCGAACGAAAATTGTATAAAAAATTAAAACATATGATATTTTTTATTCTTTCCACTGGGAAGTTAGTCGTGTGGACCTTTCGAAACGCACCTAGACTGCTTTTCTTTCTAACAATGTGGTTTTTATATCATTTATATGTTCTAGTTCTATATGATTGTTAGATACGATTTCATGCGACAAAACACTGGATTCTTAATTTTTAAGCGCTAGGAGAACAAACCCACGCGTTTTGCGCTAAAGGCATGCAACAGGACTAGACTGATTATTATTCAACAACAAGGATCTATTTTGGGTCCTTTGCTTTTTATCATTTATAGTTCCGATATAACAGCATGTCTTGAAAATTGCAAATACCATATTGTTACGAGCTTGAGGTTCGTGACAATAAAAATTGCCGATAAAATTACCTAAATTAACACTTTAATTTACTTTACACAAATTAAAGTTAAAAACACTAATAATTAAACACACTAATTCACTTTATTCCGCTCCGAAGCTTCGCTTGTTTCGCCAAATCAACACTACTCCCATCGCATCTTGCAGCGCCTATATATTTAAATTAGCAAAGAAATATCCAGAATGTTCAAGTAAACGCGCGCAAGGTACCGAGCGTTCGAGTTTCGACTAGGCGCTGTCGGTTGAGTGATTTGTGATGTCATTTTCTCAATGCTCTCCTCGCTCTCGTTCCTGACACTAGATGGCGCTAGTTGACTTATTCATGCAACACTGCCCCCTCTTAAGACATGCTCGTCCCGAGCATTATCGGTCCCATAATAACGCGCCAAGCGATCCACATGGACGATCTTAGGAGTCCCTCTTGCGCCTTTCTGTATCCGGTAGGTCACATCGTTGATCCTGGTTACAATCCGGTACGGGCCGTCCCATTTAGCTTGAAGCTTAGGAGATTTCCCTTTGCTGCGGACTGGATTGTGCAACCACACTAATGAACCTTCGTTGAGCCCTTTATTGTTCATTTTGCGGTCGTACCGGGTTTTCATTTTCTCAGACATTTGCTGGCCCGATTGTCTGACGTGCTCATAAATGTCATTCATTTTGTTCCGCAAGTCATTTGCATAATCGGTTATACTGCGTGGGGCATCAGGTGGTATCCCGGTGATCAGGTCCGCAGGCAGCCGTAATTCTCTTCCAAAGTTTGCGAAAGCTGGTGTCACTGCTGTACTTTCGTGAACAGAACTTCGATATGACAACAAAAACGGTTGTATGTGCTTGTCCCAATCTCGTTGCCGATTGTCTACAACTTTTGCTAGGTACCTCTCCAATGTCTGATTAAATCGTTCCACCATTCCATCAGATTGCGGGTGATAAGAAGTCGTTCTTGTTTTATGAGTACCCATAACTCGGCAAGTTTCCTGGAATATTTGAGACTCAAAATTCCTTCCTTGACCGCTGTGAATCTCTAAAGGTACTCCAAAACGACAGAAGACTTCATGAACTAGTTTATCTGCAACTGTTGAAGCTTCTTGATTTGGAATGGCGAAGACTTCTGGCCACTTAGTGAAGTAATCCATCACAACCATGAAATACTTGTTACCGCTTTCACTCTCCGGAAACGGCCCCGCCACGTCAATGGCTATTCTCTCCCATGGTGCACCCACATTGTACAACTTCAATGCACCTCTACTACGAGTCTGAGGTCCCTTTACAGCCGCACAACTTGTACATTTGCGACACCAGTCCTCGACATCGTTTCGACAGTGGACCCAGTAAAACCGTTCTCGGATCTTCAGTAGAGTTCGTTTAACTCCCAGATGGCCTCCTGAATAATCATTATGGTACAGCTGTAGAACATCCGGTACTTTAGCTTTAGGGACAACCATTTGTAAATGACAGCTGTCTCCCCGAACATTTTCCCATTTACGGCACAGAACTCCATCCTGAAGCAGCAAGCTGTCCCACTGGGCCCAATAGCTTTTAGTGGTTGAACTCATTGCTGAGACGTCGCTCCACTTAGGCTTGGGAGCACTGGCCTTTATCCATTCCAGAATCGGCTTGATGTCCGGATCTTCC